TGCGGCGCGTGTTCCCGACGGTAATGAGATACCGCAGGATTAAAAGTTTCAACATGCGCTTTTATTATATTTCTATCTAGTTTAGAAGTTTTGGCATGTTTGCCTTGCATGCTGCCCCTGTGACTAATAATCTTTTGTGAGTTTTCAGTAAAACAGTCTTGCAATATTCGATCATTATTTTTATTATATCCCAATGTGGATAAAAAAAATAATTTGCAAACTTCAACCCTCTCACCAGACCTACATTTGAAGTAGTACCTAAGGGTCTTGTTTCTTCTCGACTCCTGCGCCCTATGGCGTTTAACTTGTAAAGATGTCACATAACTAGAAACGAAGTTTCTTTTTTCCGAAAATGTCATTTGCCAATATTGTGTATTAATATTTTTTCTTTCATCGTCTATAAATTTTTCAGTACACTTTTTCTTACATGTGTTCGCGCAGGGTGTCTTTACAGAGTGTTTTAGCTTGATTTGTTCGATTTTTTTGCCTTTCTTGCTGATAGTGGTTCATCTAATCGTCTTCGCTTTCTCCTTTCCCCTTTCTTTGTATATTCTTCTGATACGAAAACGCTTTCCTTGGTTCTATTGGCCATTTTCTTTTTAATACAAATTAATGGGATATCTTCCTCATCTGATGAAGAATGGGATACGATGTAATTGGGATCTTGCACTGAATCGTCCGAATCACATCCAAAACATTCTTGCTCATTGTCATTTCTAGAGCAATTTGCATAAAAGGTAGATGGTTGATCATAGCAATTTACTGGCTGTAATGTCGCGTAACTAAGCTTTGGTGGTTGATCATGATAGCAATTACGAGGGTCTTCACAGAGATTTGTGTCAATTGCATACATACTTTCATTCATAATTGAGATAGGTAAATCTGAAATACATCCCATTATTTCATATCCTGTTGGTATTTCACTGAATAAATGTTGAGAACTTTGGAAGGAACATAAGCCGAGATTTTCGCAACTACTGGACGAGGGTACCGTTTCGATCAAATTTTCATCCGGATTGACAGAAAAGGGTGGTGCATTTTGAGAGCTTGATATGGAGTTTGGTATATCACAATTCTTGGTTTGGGTCTCGCTATTTAATAAAGGTGACTTAACATTTATTTGCTGGTGATTTTCGAGAAGTCCAGTCGAATTAATCATATCATTGGATGATGACAGATCGAAAACGGCCTTTGGTGCAATTTTTGGTTTAGTTTTCGATTTTGAGCTTCTAACAGTAGTTAAAAAATCAGTAGAACATCCAAGCATTTCAAGATTTTTCTTTCCTCTACTTCCCATGTTTAACTGCAATAAAAAATATTATTTACCTAAAGATATTTTTTATTTATAATGTATAAATCTAAAACAACTTTTCTTTAATTTATTCTAATATTTTATTAAAGCCCTACTAGATACATATTGTTATTTGTTATTTGTCAAAAAATATATGTAGTCGCATATTTCTTGTGCTTTTGTGCTACCTCTTGTAATCATGCATATTATAAACTAACTATACTAAAAAGCTCACATACAAATATATCAACGAAGTTGCATTTCGATAACAAATAATGTGTATACTTATTGCAGAAAAAATTAGGTTAGGTTATATCTGTGGTTATATATATTAATTATATTTTACTTTTAAACACAAAACACACACTTACAGAATACAATTTAAGTAAAAATATGTTTCTGTACTTACCTAATTTATTTTCAAGCCATAGGATAATTAAAAAACGTAATAAAAATAAACAAATAGATTAAAGGTATTTTAACGGCCTTCACTTGTCTTTAGTAACGACATTTCGATACAAACTTATCTCTCTTAAATACTTGTCTTAAAAGTGGTAAGTACTGATTTTGCCGAATATACCCCTTTCTAGTTAAGAAAAGGCAGATACCACGATTAAGCTTCTTAATTGTGATGTCTCGTGAACATACGACTATTTTCATAAGAATATATTTTCATTTTCAAAGGTACTTATCACTTTTAAGCTTAAAAAAAAGATGTAAAATGGTATGTTGTATACAATACACGGAATAACTCAATTTAGCCTAAAATTGGAGATACCACTTTTAAGCCAAGCACGGCAGTATAATACCGGGAATAGAAATATACCAATATATAATATCTTCAATATATATAAGAAATATTGTAGATATACTCGTATTCCTGACATTACTGGTATTATATCGGGTATTTACTATGCGGTAGTTGAAAATACCTTTTATAAAATTAGACTGTTCATCTAAATGTACAGGTATATACCGGATACCCTGATTTTTTGTTTTGTTCTACCTATTGAGTACTTACCCACCACCCGTGTCTCGTTTTTCAGGTAGAATGGCAGTGACGAAAGTGGTTCTTCGTTAGGAGCTGTCTATTTCGAAAAATGACTCAAACTTATGTTCTTTTTTTTAAACAGGACACTCTATATATTATTTTTTATTTTATTTGCCTTGTTAATCTTTGATTAACGAGAGCTTTCGAAAATTATAATATACTCTATATTTATTTATTTAGGTATTGCTAAACTGCTAAACTGCTAAACGGCTCTTATTTTATTTAACTTAATTTTGCCAGATAATTTTGCTTTGCATCGTGAGATTTTGATAAACTACACGGAAACTGAACTTGTGCTGCTTTTAAATAACATGCCAATAACCAACATTTTACGTCGAATAAATTAGTTGATTGTTTTGATTACCTAATTTAAACCGACCGACTATGTAATAAAGTTAAATAAAGTATTTTTACCCCGTTTATGAAAATAAGTATTTTAGAAAGCTCATAACAAGGAAAATAAAATAATATACAAAATATCGTATTTAAAAAACATATAAGTTTTAGTCAATTTAAAAAAAGACGTCAGAGTTACGTCAATGCATTCTACGTGAAAAACTGTACGGGAGACCGTTTTCACCTTTTCAATAAGTTATGATACAAAGGGGATCGAAAACTGCATTAATTTCAGATTCGCCCTGTATTTTAGGAAGTAAGAGAGCTAGGACATATCTGTATGTAGCATCTTTAGTTTCATAAAAAAGTAACAGCGTAATGTGAAAACCGCATCTTTGTATTTCGACTCATAAACGAGAAACCCTGCAAAACACACGAAAATGGGAACCCTGTACAGACGTACTGCCAAATCATGAAATCAACTACGAATGAAATCCAAGATCGATTTAAATATTTTAATATTTTTTTGTGTTCGTGATAATTCCTTTGCTACTTCCTCCAAAAACCGACAATACGTGGAAGGAGCGTTTCGAGGAAGTAAACGAACGAAGTAGCGTTTTGACGAAGGAGGAAGGAACACACAGTCGCATAAAATCGACATTTTTCCATAGTAAATATATGATTTTTGGACGAAGGGACGCGAGGAAGGAACGAAGTGAAGTAGCGAAGAGTATGGGGCTTAATAAATAAATAAAAAAAATATATTTTTCAGCCTTTCTTAAAAAAATTATTAAAAATACAAGAACTGTTCTGAAATCAAAACTATATTAGGTATTTACTTTGGATGATCTGTACTTACTTTGCTATAAATATGGTAATCGTATATCATACAGAATGTTAAAAATTTTACACGAAACTTTCTAAAATTGATAATAATTTTTCTTCGATTTTAAATGGAACAGCCGGTATTTTATTTTTTCAATAGATGGAGAATTAAAAAATGAAAATTTTTTGTATTTAAAGTATTTCAAAATTTTTAACGGTTTCGCAGATATTCGCAGTTTTATATTTCATATGGCATTTTCCATAGTAAAGGTTTTTCAAAGCCACCCAATCATTTTTCTCTAGTATTTTACCGTTGAGAGAGCCATATGAAATAATACTGCTAAACCAAAGACATCTAAATATAGGTAGACAGAACACTCCATTCATAAAACTCAATTTTTTAGAATCATACATGGTTTGACACTTTTATGAGAGTTAAAAAGAGATGGGTACATAAATATGACAACACGGTTGAGTTTCGTCTGTCTTTCTGTCATTTCGCTCCATCAGTGGCGTGACGGTGGTGTGGTGTTTTTTTATCAAAAATTCTAAAAAAAGTTATTTTGTATATTTTAATATAAATTTTAATTTGTAATATACGTAGTAATATCGATAATATACAATGTAGGGGCGTTTGCACCAAGTTTTTTAAGCAAAACTTAACATTATGTTTAGCTTATTTTCTTGCACTATGCTTTAATCTAACTTGAATTTATATTTAAATTAAGCGGTCAAATTTCCAGGCTAGTGGCCACTTAACCTGACTTAGGCACAAAAAATTTTTACGAGGAAGTATAATTATTTTTATTATATTCCTTTGAGAAAGCTAAAAAGTGTATTATGATACCTCTACGTAAGTTCGATGATTACTTTTGATATCTTAGAGACGTCGATCAGTAGGTATATTCATTGAAAATGGATTTCCTCAAGAGTGGATGTAAGGAAAAATCATATTTCCAAGAAATGAACCTCCTTAAGTCTTTAGGACAGAGACTTTTAAATGACACTGTAATATATATCCTCGGTTTAATTGAACAAAATCTAGAATATCAAAATGAGAGGTAAGTTGGAATTCTAGTAAATCTAGTCATCAGTTCATAAAAATGCCTGAATAAGAAACTCTAGTTTCAGAGCAGGAACAATTTTATAGTATATTTGGGTTTCCTTGGATTATAGGGATAGTTGATGGAACACAATGTAAGAAAACATTCACCTGGTAAGTACCTATATGTTATATTTTCTTCAATATTTATCAGCACAAGATTTCTTATACTTTACAGGGGTAATGATGGAGAGGTATTTAGAAATAGAAAGCATTATTTTTCTCCGACATTTAAATTACTGGAAATGCTAGTCTTAAAACTATAGACAATAGACATGATTGCTTGTTGGCATGGGTCTGTGCATGAAGCCACCATTTTTTTGGATATTAAGGACGTATTAAGCTGTGGAGACTGGTGACTTTTCAAATTAAATCCCTGCTTGGTTAGTGGTCCATATATTTACTTATTGTTAGATCATTTATATAAAATATATTCCTTAAATATTTGAGTAGGTATTCAATTTAGAAATATATTACGAATAAGATGAATTGAAAGAAATTTTTTAAAATTAAATGTGAAAATATTCAAAGGGTTCATATACTCTATTAAATTATTTTATTATCTGTTATAAGGTGATAGTGCATATGCATTGAGGGGATATATGCAGAAAGAGAGCTGAAGAACTGTATTACTGAAGAAATGTTTCAGAATTATCGGAATATGGAAACGCCACTTTCCAATATGTTTTATGGTATAAGACCAAAATTGCAAACCACAATGTCAGTTATTGTTGCACAACAGTGAGTTAAGAAAAATATTATCTGTTTAATTATAGAACACAATTTAAAAATTTTAATGTATGTACTTAAATTTTTAGATTTTGTTGTTTCAATGTGCTACACAATACAGCCAGAATGATACCTGAACAAGAGCTGCCGCCGTTAGATGAAATAAATATGGACCAAATTAATAAGAAGAGAAATAATAAATTATTTTGAAAGATTAGGGCAATATTTTTTTAACTTATTCTAAACATGTTTTTATGTTGCTAATGTTGCTGTTGTTTTTTTGTTTTTGAGTATTAATTTCTATAAAATATCATTATTAAATGTCTTTTATTCAGAAATAACATACATTACAGTTTTTACATTACAATATAAACAATAATTAAAATTATTAAATAAGTTCTCTTTAAGAACTTCACTGTTCTTTTTTTATTTCAATGTCTACAAGCAACCCTTTTTTTTTTTATTATGTTCTTCTCTGTTTTGAATACTACTTTGAATTTTGCCCATCTCCATATTATTACAAAAGAACAGCCTTTTGTCTAGTAAATTACTATCTTCCCTTTTCTTCAGTTTCTTTGTAACCATCAGGTATTGTTTTGAGACTGAAAAAATATCTAATTATATTGAATTCTCTTAAAAGTAATAAAAATTCAAAACACAATGAAAGGTTAGTACTTACAATACCAGTACTCCTATTAGTTTTAGACAATCTATCACCATCGTATGTTTTTTAATCCCACAATACTCTTCTCATTTTTACATTAATTGAATATATTATTATCTTCCGTTTTTGTTTTTTGTATACGTAGACCTCCACCAGTTAGTCAAAATATATTTTAATAATTGCCTTTCTTTTACATAGATTTATACATATGTTGTAAGCTGTTTTTCTTTGCGACTCTATGATTGGCCTTTCTTTTAAAGTAAGTCCAATAATATACAATTAAATTATTTCAAAATTACTAAAAAGTATGTTGTTCTTATATTTTGATAGTTTTTTATATGAATATTTTGTAAATCCATTCTGAGAGTTAAAAATATCAAAAATATTGGGCCAGTTTATGTATCCCTTATAAAAATGTTTTCGGTGAATAAAATTACAATGTTAAAGCAAAGGATAGTAGCAGAGGATTGGATTTTTGTGTGGCAGGTCCTTTTAACATTCTTTCAAAAATACTTTGTGCTGGCCCAGCTAGGGAAGCCTAAAAAAACATATATTATCTCTGTTAATATTATATCTCTAATATTATTATTAGTCTTTTTTATACACATCCAAATTCACTAAAGGGTTTTAAAATTTAGACCTGGCCTTGTCATGGAAATTAGAACCTTCCATTAATCGTATTTATGCCACTGTCATATAGATTAGTATATCATTCACAAAATTAAACCAGAACCAAATTTAAAACTTGTTAATGAATCTTGGCAGATTTTGGCATAATGGCTTGAGGACTAAATTAATAAATGGCTGATAACTTTACATTATTAGAGTTCCCCTCCGCCACTCAGATATATACATCTATAGTGCGTCCTAGATAACAATTATAAGCATTGAAATCTCAGAAAGGTAAGAGATACAGGGTCAATTAGAAATTGCTTTTAGCGATTTTTATGTTTTTTTGGATCTTCACATAATAACCATTATGTTTTTAAAATGTCACCCTGCATACCTATACTTATACCTTTATGGTCAATTCAGATGATTCACTTATCAAAGATTTTTCTTTTAAGTAATCAATTAATTGATGCATTGATGTTATTTTATTTTTCAATCTTCTTAGACCCATTTGCAAAGTATGTATTTTTTATTTTCTTTGTTCCCAAATTTTTATGAGACTTAAATTTCTACATAATATCATTATTATACCTCATTAACATACTTCTTTCTGAAATTAAATATCTTTTGCACAATTTTACTTAAAATACAGGGTGGCGCCTCTCATGCTACCAAGGAGTACGACAGTTAGTATTGAAATTAAATTTTGGGGGCATATGTAGGTTAATTTAGAGTATTTAAACATATAAATGTATAAAATATGTGCTTTTTAAAAATAGAGAGTTCTACAGGGTGTCGCCAAAAAAGTTACACAACAAAGTTTTGTTTTTTTGTAATGTAATTTGTTTTTTTTGCAAAGTTTTGTTTTTGTAATATTTGATTTTTGGATTCTATGAGAAAAATAAAGGTGAATTTCATTATTGGACTAAAATGTAAGGTTTTTAACATATTTAAAATTTTGTACTTGAAATCAGATTACAACAGGACTCAAACAGTTATACAGGGTGACAAAATTAATATTGAATATTGACCACTTTTAAAAGCAAGTTTCTCTTTTATTTCAAATGGAACACGCAGAATACTATTCTGATCTTTTAATTGTAGTGTGCATTCATCAATTAATAGAATGCTTAAATGTCAAATGTATGAATGTGTAAAGTACCATTTAGGTAGCTCTTACTGAAATTTAAAGTTTATTCATTATTTTCACCAAATGTGATATGACAAGCCTTACATTTTAGTATTTTAGACATATGCTTCTTTAATGAAACTCACCTTTATTTCTTTCCTAGAATCCGAAAATCAATTATGTAATTTATAAGGTGTTCCATTACAAAAAAAAACTTTGATGCGTAACTTTTTCTGGGGACACCCCGCAGAACTCTTGATATTTCTGTAAAACGCTTTCTATTATCCTACATATGCTTCCAAAATTACATTTCAATATAAACCACTATTCTCTTTGGAGCCTCCGCGTCGTATGAGAGGCGCCACCCTGTATATAATGTACAGATAATTTTTACCTTTTTCTGATAGGACTTCTTGAGCCAATAAATATCCACTATTGAAAGATCAGAAAATGAGAATTATCTTACTATGCTGTAAACAAAAAAAAACATTAATAATTAATTTTTCAATAAAAATAACTATATTTTTTGTTCTTTAAATTTTTCGTAAATACTAATAATTTCCTTCTAATGGTATTATTAAATTTATCATGTGAAGTTTAAACAAGATTTTCTAGTGCAAAGAGCAAAAGCTCATGCATATAAAATATATGTATGTAAACAATATTAAAATACATGTATAAAATATATTTTATCAATGTTCTTACAAATTTGAGGGGCCAGCCAAGGAACAAATAAACTGCCAGTCCCTCAGCGGGTCCTGGAGGCTCATTTACGTAAAATATTTTTTGGGTGGAGTGCGAACTAGAAGAAAACCTAGCCTAAATAATACTAATATTGTTACAATACTTATTAACTGAGAAAATGTATTTCACTGCTTTTTACCTGCATGATAAGGCCCCAGCAAAAATGGTAGTATCTATTTGAGGCTCAGCATTTGGTCTTATTTGCCTTCAACCAGTTTATTCGGTGATCATAATATCGCTCTTATCAAACTTATCAGAACAAATTTGATTGCACACTTTTGATTGATTTTCCAAACTCTAGAGTGAAATGCTTCGCTGTCTACGCTCAGTATTTACAGTAAAGCTACAAAAATACTATTGGTTACATATGCAACACATACATAATATATATTAAGTATAATAAACCTATTTGATAAAATATGTAAAATAAAAATATGTGGTAAAAAAGGCAAAATTAACCTAAAGAAAAAATCTAGGTTTATACATATATATAGTTATTTTATTATTTTTTTAATTTGAGTGTAGGACAGACATATCTTTATAATAAATAAAAATAAATAATAGATCAATCTTAACTATAATATATGTTACGGTTAATATCTAAAACCTGCTAATAATAACTAGAGCTCAAATATACCATTTAGATCGCAAAAACAGTTTTCTTTCAACATTAGGGGAAGAATTATACAATAGCTAAAGTCTGAATCCTACTTGAAGAGTGCTTGAAGCTCTAGTCTGAAGTAATTGTAAAAATGGTGATGGTACTTTTTAGGTACGCCGCCAATCTTAAAGTTATTGATGTAAATTTGATTGATATTCTACAAATAATGTATTAACTGTTTAAGTACGGATACTCGGCTAAATGTTTGAGATCACTTCATTATTTATTTTTGAGAAAATTTGAGGTTAGAATATACCTTTGCTCGCGTCTGCGCGTATGGCTGGCGGTAACAATGAAATATTGAAAATCTGGATTTTATTTTTTTATTTATATTTTCCTGTTAATTTTGAAAAATAGCGATAGCGATTTTGATATTCAAATTTCAGGTATTAACTACCTATAATAGCTGTTTTATTGGTACATATATTAGCCATAACATCCACAATTTTTAAAACATAGGTATATAGCGGTTTGGAATGTGAGTGTAATTCTAATTTCACAATCGAAAACGCTATCTAATAACAAAATATACGCATTTTTGTAATAATCTACAGTATAGTTCTAAATAGTAGAGACGCCACTGTTAAAGCTAGAAAGACGTAATGTTACTTACCGCCGAAATATCAATCCAGGGGTAGAATAATCCACCTTTTACAAATTTTGCACTTGCAGAACCACCGTAGATAGTTAAAATACTACTTTGAATAGTTTTCTTGGCAAAAACGCAATAATTGCTTGAAAACCTGTTAAAAACCAAAAAAATTCACAACCGCAAAGGAAATCTCGCAACAACGGCCTGTAAACATTTGATGAATGAAACCGTCAAAATCAGCGTAATTCCTACAGATTCCTACAATTTGTAGGTAAAATCTCAACCACAACGATGCCAAGCGTTGCCACAGTAATTTCCTAATATATTTTAATATAATAATTTAAACAGAAAAAAAATAATTTCTAAAAAAATAATTTCAAAGATATAATCTATGTATTTTAATTAAAAATTATATACCTACACAAATATTTAGTTTAACGTATCTATCGTACCCAAAAAACATTAATAAGAATAATAACATTTTTAACAACAATACTACAATCTATAGGCGCAAGGGAAATCTGTCATCATCGATTTTTGTGCAACACGGTTCGTGATCGCGGTAAAATGTAAGTTGTTTTGTCTCCCTTTATTTAGATGTCTTTGTGCTAAACCATTAAAAATTTTGAAATACTTTAAATACAAAAAATGTTCATTTTTAAGTCCCCATCTAATAAAAAAATAATATACAGGGTGTTCGATTTAAAAAAAAACAAATAAATATTATTTTATATTTTAGAAAGTTTGGCGTAGAATTTTGAATATCCTGTATGATTTAAGATTACGAGATTTATAGCAAAGTTAAGTATAGACCATCTAAAGCAAATACCTAGTAGTTTTGACTTCAGGACAGTTCTTGTATTTGTAATACTTTTTTTTAATGAAGGTTGAAAAATATATTTTTTTATTTATTTATTAATATCTCTGAAACTATCGAAATACATTTATTCATATCTTAGGATTATGTAAAGAGATCTGAAAGCAAGCCAAAAATGTAATAATATACATGGTGTTCAATTTAAAAATAATCATCGATAAAAACATTCACCACAATATTACCTTCATGTATCTCCGAACGCCACATAGAACACACGTATTGGAGAGGAGTTTCATATGAGTGCCTTTTACAAAATCCCGATTGCCCCTTAAATATTCAGTCATGTTCTTCAACAAATACCCGCACATGGTTTGTAACGGTAGTCTCCAAAATCTTATCTATTGTAGCAGGAAGTTAATTGGTCTATAATCAGAAGGTTTCTGCGGCATCAAAACCTTTGGAATAAGCACGATAACACTTATTTTAATTTGTTTAGGAATTTTTCCAGTTGCTAGTGATGTGTTTATCAAATGCAATAGTAATCCGACAGCACAAAAAGTGGCCTTCAAAAATACATTACGATACAAGGTATACCCTGGTCTACTACAGGCTTGCGTATATCTGAAAGGAACATGCGCTCATTATCTCACCTTAAGAAATTCATGGACAGCGTCTTCTTTCGTAATTACGTGAAACTTTAAGAAGGGTTTGTTGTAAGACTATAAAAGCTGCCAGAGACATGTATTATAATGCGAGGTTAGCCAAAGCCGATAATGTTGCTAAGGAGACTTGAGCTATTGTAAATGATTTAAGGAATAAGACTTCTTCGTCTGGCACAGTGTTTAGTTTACCTGAAGATTTAAACACTTACTTTGTTAATGTGGCTAAAAATTTAGTGAACACCATAACTTCTTCCCATGATTCACTTTCATATCTCCCTAAAGCAAATGAGAATTTACACAGTTTCTTCTTCACGCCCGTAGCATTAGAGGGGCTCCGTAGTACAATTAAAAGTATTAAAAACAAATCCTCATCTAGGACTGATGGGCTTACTCTCAAAATGTTCTCAGAACTTCCTGAATGCACATTTATCCAATATAATTTGTTCACCACATACGACACGGAGTATTGTAGCTAAACGATTAGATTTTTATAAATTGTAAGTTTTGGGTTCACTGAAGGACTAATAGAGCTACAATTTAAAAATATTTTTACAAGATACAAAGTGTCCCAAATAAATAAAAAATATCAAAGTTGTATTTTTTTAAATAGAACACCCTGTATATTATTACATTTTTAGTTTCTACGATTAAAATAAAGGCAAATTTGATTAAGTTTTATCACAATTAAACCTTACCGTTTTTGAAATATTTTCAATTTTATGAAATTGCAGTAAAAATTCTAAGGCTTCATTTCTCCAATGTTATCAAAGTTTTTAATACTAAATATTTACTGAAGTTTATTTATTGATCAGTTATTGCGTTGCAATAATCAAAATAATACTTCCTCATACAGAGTGTCTAAAAATAAACCCCTGTATATTTTAGGAGAATCAGATGCACAATTTAATTTTCTATCAAATTGTATTATGCCATTTTTTAGCTATCTCTTCAAGTTTTTGTAGAAAATACATTTTCTTATAATTTAGACCTCATTTGTCAATATATCCATGGAATATTGACATTTTAGATTCTTTTTAACGCAACAAATGTACAGAATGTACAGGTGCTAAAAACAATAATATTACTAGCCCATTTGTATACAAAAAGAAAACTATTTAAATCTTTATAAAAGAGTATACCATTAGTTAACTATACCACCATTATGTCTGCCCAAATATTAATTAATTACATACTTAATTGTGTTAGTTAATAAATTATTCTAAATAAATGTGGGTTTGAATCAGAAATCAATATAATAATAAATTATGAAAATGAACAGCTCTCTAGTTATAAATAAGCATTCGTCAAAAAATGAAATAAAATTTTTAAGGTGTCACTTTTTATAACATTTTCTAATACACATACAAAACTAAATTTTTTAGCATTTGGAGCAATAATTATTTTTAATTAATGCAATCAGTCAATTAATGTAGTTTGAATACAGGAATCATATTAATTGATCCTCTTTAACAAATATTTAAACAGCTTTTTTGATTTTTTTAGTGAAATAAACGAAGTATATCTACAATATTAGTATCAGTACAGTTGTACAAATATAGGAAGAGACTTGGGGATAGCACCGGTCGCGTGTTATTTGATATTTCTCACGTCTCTAGCTATACTTGTTAAGTTGTACTCTTTAAAAATTTGTTACATCTTTAAAAATAATTTAAAATGTCAATATTCCGTGGGTATATTGATAAATGAGGTCGAAATTATAAGAAAATGCATTTTCTACAAAAACTTGAAGATATAGGTAAAAATGGTATAATACAATTTGATAGACAATTAAATTATGCTTCTAATTCTCATAAAATATACAGGGTGTGCCATTTAAATTAAACAAGTTATTGCCGTTTAAAGCTTGCAATTATTTAAAATAATTTTGTAGACACTCTGTATAAGATAGTATAATTTCTATTAATGCAACACAAAACTTAGTAAATAGAAATACTTCAGTACAATATTTGGTTTTAAAAACTTAAATACGTCTAGAGAAATGAAGCATTAAAATTATTACTGTATTTTGACAAAAACCTAAATATTTCAAAAACGGTAAGGTTTAACTGAGATAAACCTTAATCAAATTTACCTTTATTTTAATCGTAGAAACTAAAAATGTAATAATATACAGGGTGTTCCATTTAAAAAAATACAACTTTGATATTTTTTATTTATTTGGGACACTGTATCTTTAAAATTATTTTTAAATTGTCGCTCTAATAGTCCTTCAATGAACCCAAAACTTACAATTTGTAAAAATCTAATCGTATAGCTACAATACTCCGTGTCGTATGTGGTGGACAACCCTGTATATGCATTTAAGTACTATATTTAAACATTTTACCAAAAATTTGAGATATGTGGGAATTTTTCTATAAAATGCTAACGTGTGGGGACTAACAAATTTGAGAATTTACTTTACTTACCCAAACAAATCTTTGCGATTTTGATAAAAAATATGAGAGCTGGACGTGGAATTGAAAAAGCTTTTTACAATAAATCACTGGAGCAAACGAGAAATGTGGAAACCTACAATTTAACAGATTTTCCAAATTTTTTGCATTAATAAAATTATAAAGGGGAGTTATACCTAAGGGATCATTTCGGAGGTTGATAAATGGAATGCATAATTTCAGAATTAAAAAAGTTTTCTGATAGTATACCTTTTCTTAATTGCATCGATGGAAGATACTTTTAATTTTTGAAGGAAATAGGTAAGGTATGTTTAAAGTTTTCTAGGCAAAAATGGTATCTGTTAATGTCTTTTTTTAAATTACTCGTATTAAATACCCTAGTTAAATTATTATTAAAGTTTTAATTAAATACAGGATGTTTTTCAAAAGTGGCTCACCCCTATAACTTTTTATTTTTTCAGACAAAAAAAAATAGATTTGGTACAGCACGTCTGTGAGAGGGGAAACGATATTCTCTGGATGTTTTTCATAAAAAATTAGACGACGCGTCCCATCAATAAAAATTCGACAAATTTGCAAGTAGCCAATAAAATGAGTGGGCGGAGTGATTTGCGGTGACGTACTCATCAAATCGACGTATAAAATATATTGCTGTTTATTTAAATGTTTTTTGTCCGCATTCCTTTCATAGACACAGATCCAGCAGACGTACTGTATATTAGTATTTGACATAAATCGGGTTTGATTGACGTATCCAATTAGTTTCGTTCACGTTCAGTTTCATCGGAAATGATTAGAACTTTTGATTTTTAAACTGTACACTTGATATTTTTTTACTTTGACAGAAAATAGCATTCTGAATAGAATGACATATCACTTGTCAACTTTTGATATTTTCGCTTAAAATAATAGTATTTTAAATTTCAGCCTACATTGCCACGACCATAAATCTAACAACAATTTTAGTCGAAATACCTACGAAGTATGAGATACATAATATATTAATGACATACCCTCGCTCCATTTGAAAAAAATTGAGGGATGATCAAAAATACAGTTTGGGCAACTTTTAACCTACCAAGAAACACGAAAAGTATTATACGATCAAGTCTATTTTTCCAAAACCCCCATATCTACATTTAAAATTTTTCCACTCTAGATA